ATATTTAAACTTCTATTATTTTTTAAACAATTAATTATATATTTAAAAAAATGTAGACAAACAAAAGTGTAGAAACTTATTTCACCTAAAATTGGTATTCATTAAACTTGATATACGATATATACATATATCAATAAGCTTTCTCTATTTACTAGATATTACCGCGGAGCAGTTGGTGCACTACTCGTGTATGATATTGCAAAACACCTGACGTATGAAAATGTAGAAAGATGGTTACGAGAATTACGGGACCATGCTGACCAGAATATTGTGATCATGTTAGTGGGAAATAAGTCAGACTTAAGGCATCTGCGTGCTGTTCCAACTGACGAGGCTAAAGCGTTTGCTGAAAGAAATGGCTTATCTTTCATTGAAACATCCGCTTTAGATTCAACTAACGTTGAGACAGCGTTTCAAAACATATTAACAGGTAACTCTCTTAATTATAATTTTGTACATAGAATTTATTGTTTTCGAAACAGATTACAATTTTATACTTTTTTCACTCAAAAATTAACTTTAATCAATTTCTTTTAAATTCAAATGCATATATAGAATCAAGGTCTGACTATATGCTTTCCATTTAGTGACACAAGTTGACACAGCATTATCTTTCTTGAATATTTAGTGAATAATAAAGATAGAATATCACTTGTGTTGAAATTACTAAATAAAAAACATGTAGTCTTTCTACTAATAGTCTTTCCTACAGAGCTATACTTTATTCAATGTTGTTTCATAAAAGTTAGCATACACTGAATTGATTATTAAATAATTGAAAACTATGTTAAAACTGTAATAGCTAACATATTTTGGTATCATCCATGAAATCAATTATACGTATGTGTAGTTATCAATAATATACATATATATTTGTGCTAATTTTTGGTATTATAAAATATAGAATTTTTTAATTTTACGAGTTAAAATTGCAATATTACAATAGAATTAAAATTGTATGTTTTTCGTGTAATATTTGCATTAAAATACTATTATAATATAATTTTTTAATATTTTTTTAATATTTAATATGTATTACACTTTATTAAGATAAATACTTGTCTGTATCAGAGTTAATATTTATTGTAATGATAAACATCATGCGTATTTTATTGTTTCATTTAATAAAAATTTTTTATTTTTACAGAAATATACAGAATCGTATCGCAAAAACAGATACGAGACCCACCTGAAGGTGATACAATCCGGCCACAAAATGTAGAACAAATTGAAGTCAAACCAACGATGAATGCTGAGGGAGTGCGTAAGCAGTGCTGCCAGTGACTCACCTTGTTGCTTAAAATGTGTGTACACATATATACAGTATGAATATCATGGAAGTACAGTTGGGGATAATATTTAATTTCTAACGGAAAAGATTTTGTTTATGATGCAGTAAAAAGTTTCTGGAATGATCATTTGTATAATAGGATAGATTTAATATAAGGAAACTATATGGTTAGTTTATTATATTATTAATGTTAACTTGATTGTAAATTGAGTTAATTTTAACATATATCAAAATTAAATATTATTAAAGACACTTCTATCATGTTTCTTTCATTCCAATAATTTGTATTCTACTGTTGATCGTATTGAAGTTGTTTATTTCTATCATGTACATACAGCTACAGTCTCTTATACATAATTTTCTAAAATAATTAAAATAATTAAAATATTTAAGTTTTTTTTCTTCAACAGATTATATTGTAGATTTAAAATCTACATAAGATATTTCAAAATAACTAGATGTTTAATATATTTCTTGATTAATTCAAAATTGATTTTCTCAATGGATATATCAAGTCAATGTTGTTTTCGAATAACTAATATTCGAAAATAAAAGATATTTGTGAATCAAATTTCAAGAACAAATGAATAATAAAACTATACTTTTCAAATAATTTTAAGAATTTCAATGTGAGACTTACATGTAAAAACACTGAAAATTGGAATATTAATAATAAGGACTTCTATAGAGAAAGAAAAAGAAATAAAGGAAATATTGGCTTTGAATTGGTTAAAGAATTTGTTGTTAAAAGGACCCCCGATGACTTTCGAATATTCTATATCGTTAGATCACAAATGCTTTATAAAATATAAAAATCAGTTCGTGTTCAACATAAATATGTACCAATAAATATGTTGCAAATTATTTTCTATAACAGCTTACTTTTAAATTATTAAATACTTCAAAATAAATCTAAAGGTGGAATATCTTTAATACATTTGTTAAATTAATTTTTTGTATATATAATAATTTTTCCACTAATATTATTAGTGCTATATTTGATTCAATATATATATATGTGTGTGTGTGTGTGTGTGTGTGTGTGTGTGTG